GTAGTTCACAATAATCAATTATAGTAATACGCATATGGATAGATCACGATGAAATCTAACTCAACCATCTCAAAGTATTTTATAATATATAAATATATATATGTCATGGCATAAATTTCTTAGTTTATTTAAAAACATTTATAGAATTATCAATCATGAAACATATGATGAACAAGGAAAGATCCACTCACCTGGAGTCCGTGCTACAACTTTCTAGCACAACCATCGAGGCGTCACAAACAATTGGCGCATTTGACCAATTATCAAACCACATCTCAGAATTCTCGTTTATACAATACATAACTCACATCGCACATAAGTCTACGCAATTCGGTCCATAAGATCTACAAATCAGATCTCTGATCTGTAACTTCCAAGGATCCATATTATGCTTCTAGAATAACATACTAAAGTTTCGGAATGATCCAATGGTCGGATCTCTGCCAATTTCCAAAACCAAGTGGCGGTTAGCATTTTATTTTACAAACTTACAAATCCAATTAGAGGAGATCCATATATCGGATTCCCAATCCGTAAGTTCCTATATTCCTCAAATATTATGAATATTAATCTATCAAAGTTTGATGACAATCCAACGGTCGGATCGTCGATTCATATAATGGCCTATTAATGTATCTTAGCGAATTTTGGCTCTAACGATCAATCTACGTCATTTACTTCTCAAAACTGAATTCAATACATCACATATAGCCTAAAAATAGCATTGGCAGCCCTCAGGCCACGCGCCGCCGGTGGCGGTCGGCCGCCTCGGCTAGCCGGAAAAATTCAACTATTTCTAAAAATTACCAAAATTTACAGAATTGTAGGTCTCAATGAGTAGAGTAAACTTTATACCTGTAACCGAAGCCAATTTGGCTTGGAAACACTTCAATTTCACCAAAATCCGTGCAGACCCTAGAATTTGGTGTGCTTCGATTCGACCTCCAAACTTGTTCCAACGCCTCCACCACTGCTTGGGCTTTGTTCTTGGGTTCTAGGGAAGTCTAATGGTAGTGGTAATTGAAGGAAAACGTTTCACAAGTGGTGAATTTCGAGCAATGTTCCTCACGGCACCCACCTTCGATTTTTGAATAAATTACCACCAAATTCCTTCTAATTTTGAAAGGAAATGGAAGAGGGAAGGTCTAGGGATAATTTCTAGGTGAAGGATGAGTGACTTCGTCGGAAAAATGGTGGGATTTAGCTGGAATTGGAACCGGGTCGAAACCGGTGTTGTTTTGGGCGCACGGGTCGACTGGTTGGGTGCTCCTCGCCTCCCTCCTTTCCCTTTTGGTTCTTCTCTCCCATTTGTCACCCTCACTCTCCTCCTTTCCTGATTGGGCAGTGCCCATCTCTTTCTCTCCCTCTCCATTTCGCTGCCGTCAGGCAGCTTTCCTCTTCTTCCTTTCTTCTTTTTATTTTTCCCCAATTTTTCCGACTCCTCCCTTTGTAAAAATAACAATAACCATAATAAATGAATAGGATAATGAATAACGACCTTTAAAAATTTATAAAATCATAAAATTTGGGATGGGTTGTCACACAATTAATTTGTATGAACACACCGCTACAGTACTTTTCAATTCACTTCCTATAGGAGTCAATTTGTATGAAGGAAAAAGTTCTTCTATTTTTTTTGGGTAGTGGGTTGGAGTCAGGTCATGAAGAGAAATTGAGAAGTTGATTTCGAGTTCAATTTTTCCGAGGGTTTTTGAAGAATTGAAGTGAAAAATATTCAAAAATTTAGTCTTACATTTAGAGTGAGTTTTCAAGATTTTTTTTTTTTTTTTTTTTTTGTAGGTCAGCTAGTGGGTGTATGGTTTACCTTAAATATTAATTTTTTCAACCTCTTAGGGAGGGAATTGTGGAACTGGGGCTATACAAACTCCCAATTTTTGCGCCCATATTTGCACATGAAGTATTATTTTGCAGCCAATTTGGATTCTAGCCAGCCCTGAGAAGTGAATTGACAAAAGTATCCCTCTAGGTTAGGGACATGTGACATGTTTCAATGACAAAATGGATGAAAAATAACTTAGACCATTTTCAAATGAAATGTCAAATTTGAAACATAAAATTTAAAATTGACAGCTTATTGTTGGAGAGGCATTGCGGAGGCCAATAAGATTATTCGAATGGGTGCTCGGTGGTGAGTGGGAGATGGTACAAAGATCAAAATTTGGGGTGATAGTTGGCTTCCCCGAAAGCAATTTTTTAAGGTTATAAACCCTATACCCGATGGCTTTGATCAGTCATCCGCAGTGCACAATTTATTGCAGAGAGAGGGGGGTTTAACGTGGAATACAGAGGCTATTGACATAATCTTTTGTGTAGAAGAAGCTGCTTTGATTAAGCATATACAGTTGAGTCCTTTTCAGACGAATCACATACTAATATGGAACGCGGAGGCTAATGGAAAGTTCTCGTCTCAAAGTGCATACCACTTGGCTCGAATGCATGGGGATGTCAACGGTGGCGAGGCAGGCGGATCGGTACTAAATGGAGACGTGAAGTTTTTGTGGAAAGCAATTTGGAGAGCCAAGGTTCCCGAAAAGGTAAAAATATGTGTGTGGCGTTGTTGCTTGAATGCAGTACCTACTCCTTCAAACCTGAAGAAAAAGAAGGTTCTCATGGAGATTTCATGTATCTTCTGTCGTGGAGATGAGGAAACAATTAAGCACCTCTTAAGGGATTGTCCTCGGTCAGTCGCTGTGATCGCAGAACAAAAATTCTGGATTGGTTTGCCGAAATTGCTGGTATGTTATCAAGGAATAGCTTTGATTCTTTTTTGGTTATTATATGGAATATTTGGCTGGAAAGGAATTCATTTTTATGGAAGGGCAAGGCGGCTCACCCTTGGCAGCTGTTGTGCAAAGCCGAGTGCTGGCTGCGTGAATACCAGAAATGACACCGTGTGGAGAAGAAAGGAAAGGCAGAGATTAATCAGAAATGGCAGCTACCGGAGAAAGGGTGGATGAAGTGCAATTTTGATGGTGCTTGGGATGAACAACGAAGCATGGGAGGAATGGGCGTAGTCATTCGAGATGTCTTTTGTGGCAGCCTTAGCGAAGAACATTGCAGGAATCTCCTCGCCGTTATTAGCTGAAGCTATGGCAGCAAGGGAGGCGGCCCTGTTTGTGCATAATTTGCAGGTGTAGAAGATGATTATGGAGGGGGGATGCATTGCTTGTCCTCTCTGCAGTACAAAACACGGGGGAAAGCTGCAGCTACCCCCATGGAATTTAATTATGGACACAAGGCAACTGATGCAAAGGATCCCCAGCTGGAGTCTCAAGCACACTCGAAGGGAGGCGAACAAGGTTGCACATAGGCTTGCACGGTTTAGCTTGAGTATTGATAATTGTGTAACTTGGTTTGAACAACCACCCGATATAATCATTGATCTCTTATTGAGGATAGTAATACTTAATATATGTTGGGTGCGAGATGCTCTTTTTCCCTTCGAGCGGGTTGAAATTCCTGTCAAGGTTTTTATCGACAATCTTGTGCACCCTATTCTCAATATTGTACGTATTCCAATTTCCATCAATTAATATCGTGCTTTATCAAAAAAATTGATAGCTTATGTGGCACTTCAACATCTTTTAAAGTTTTACTCTCCATCCGAAACGTCAAATTTTAAACAAAAATAATTCATAATTATTTTATTTGCATTGGTAATGAAAGAAAGTGAATTAAAAGGTATAAGAATATTTAAACATTGCATTAGTAATGAAAAGAAATTAAAAAGTTAAGGCAACCAATAAAAAATTAATAAAAAGCATTTTAATAATTAATTAAAAAAATGAAGCTGCTGTTAAATTTGGCAACAAGGGGGAGAAATGTCATTCCATGTCAGACTACATCAGATTTGGCTTCTCGGTTGAAAAACATTGTTGCTGACTTTTTATTACCGTTATTGCTTATTTGGACATTTTGACATCTCCTTTGGAGATGATGTTAGGTTGTAGATTCCAACATTTAAGAAAGACCAGATGGTAAAAACTAAAAATTTAAAGTTCAGGTAGTATTATCGCACATGGTTACAAGTTTAGTTGGAACTTTCACCAAAAAATCCTATAAAAATATGAGAAAGTGACTGCCAATTATGACATTGGTATGTAATTTTTGTTTTGTTTGAATTCAGTTGTGTATTTTGAAAATCAAAGCCTGTTGCTGATTACGATTTAATATTACAAATTTTGTATACTTGAAACCAAAGCTCCCACAAATATATGGGCTAGTTTATTGTGAATAGTTTCATTAAGTAAAGGGAAAATACTCTAAAATGCGATAATTTCTTAATCTTGGGATAGAAATAGGATAAATTGGTCATGCACACAATGCACAAACCTAAATTATTAAAATACCCACATATTATACCTACACTAAAACCCCAAAACCGCATTACTGTTCATGGACAGTGCGGGGAACAAAATGCCCTCCAAATGCTTTGTTATCTGCAATTTTTACCTTTTTCACACAGTGAAAAGGCGGCTTTGCCCTCATCGCCCACGCGTTCAACATCGCTCCATCTTCTGGTTGCCAACCCTGCCCATGCGTCGATCATCATTTAAAGGTTCTACTTCGGCTTTTTCTCCGCTTTTCCTTCCGTATTCACTTTTCTCTCTCTCAAGACTTTGCTTCTCTCACTCTCTGCTGCTGTTAAATCTCAACTTCACTCTGCGACTCTCACTCATCTCTCAGCTTTGTCTCTCTCACTCTTGAGGTACCCTGCTGCTAGATTTTGTTTGTCGTTGCTGATCTACAGGTAAAGCTTCAATTTCCATATTAAGGTTCTATTGTTCTTCATTTCTGGAATTTTGGTGTTAAGTTCAGTAATTTTGGTCTTGGTTGCCTTTTCTATTTTATCAGGATGGATTTGTTACCTCCAAAGTCCACCACCATTTATTAGTGAGTTTTTTTTAAAAAATATTTTTTTATTATTTCTGTTTTAATTTTTTATTTTTTTTTTGGTAGTTTTCCATGTTGAGGTGGGATTTTTGGATGAATTATTTTTTAGTTCTTCTGGGTATTTCTTTATATTTGTCCAGGTCAATGATTTGTTTGTGTGTTTCGTTTCAGAACACGTTGCTCTACATTTTTTGGAATTTGGTTTTTGTAATTTTGGGTGTTTTGTTTATATTATTAAATCTATTGTTTGGTTGTATGGTTGGCTTCTGTGTTTTGTTTCAGGTCACTTTGCTCTTCGATTTTTTTGAGCTTCTGTGAACAAGCTTGGAAGCCGTTTATGCTCAAGGTAAATAATTTCGGTTTTTTCCTTTGAGCCTTTTATGCGGCAAATTTTATTTTTTTAATATTGTAAAAGTTGTGTTTTCTGTAGTGTGAAAGTCAAATATGTGGGATTTATTTATTTTTTAATTTCGATGTCTTTGTTGTGTTGTTTTATGGTTTTAGATGGTGTTAGATGACTTGGTGTTTCCGTTTCTGTGTTGCAAATGATTTTATCTTTGGTGGTAGCAAGTTTTTGTGAAAATTAAATGTGAAAAACAATCAATTATTTCATAAAGCTTTCATTGATCGTCTAACAATGGTTGCTAAAACACCCTTTAAACAGATTACTTATACAGAAGCAGTGGATCTATTAATTGATGTTGTGAAAAAAGGTAAGAAGTTTGAGAACCATATAGAGTGGGGGATTGATTTGGCATCTGAGCACGAAAGGTAGTCCCTTAGAATTATTCTACTGGTTTGTCTTATTATGGTTACTGATTAAATAGAGTTTATCGATTCGTTGATCTGATTTTGTGCAAATACCTGATGGAGGTAATGAGGTATTACTTCAAAAGCCTGTTATTGTTTACAACTATCCTAATACATGAGGCTCAACGATGATTTAAGACAGTGGTTGCAATGGATGTTTTGGTACCAAAGGTGGGGTATATACTCTGAACTTGGAATCATTGAGTTTGCTGGTCTGTTTTATACTTCAGCATTTTGTACTGTTCACTTATCTTACATGGTTTTCTTATATTTCAGGTGGGAGAGTTGGCTGCGAGGAACCAAGTGGAAGAGCGTTACGATGTTATTATGAGAAGGTATTATTCCGTTTTTGTCTGTTTTAGTTACTGTATCTGCCATTGTTGTTGTTCTTATTATTCAATTCACAATCGATCGTTAAGAGTAACAATCGCCCACTACCTTGCTAAATGGAACCTAATGGATCGTACACCGAGTAAGGATGAAAGTGAAGAAATTAAATGAAATGGATATGCAATTAAATGGTTTAATTGAAGAATGGTCAAAGTTAATTAATTAGTTAATTAATTATACGAAATGTTCGTATTGGGCTTTTAAGTTGGTTTTGGGCTTCGGGGCCCAAAAACGTTTTGGTCCACAAGGCCTATTATGTTTAAGTTGTATGACAAATAAAACAAAATGGGCAATTAGCCCAATAACATCAACATGGCCGGCCATAGGGTGAGTGGATGCAAATTTGGATTAATTACAAGTTTGCCACTCACATGTGATGAAGTATAAATTCAACTTTATAGCTTTATTTTCATTTAGGGTTTTCTTGATGAAAAGAGGTGAAACATTTTTTTTTCCTTTTCTCGATAGAGGCCAGCCACTTAGAGAAGTTTTAGCTAGCAATCTATTATTCTCTAAGTCATCCATTTCACCTTCACAATACATCCTTGGTGAAGAGACTTAGAGACATCAAGCTTTTGGTGTTTTGGAGAACATATCCTCAAATCCTCAAAGAAGCAAAGGAGCACTTAAAGGAAGAAAATCACAAGGAAGATTCAAGGAGCAAGGAGGTGACTTGAAGGCCCTCCACTTGGGTGAATCCCTTGTGTAATCAAGGATGAGCTTCAAGGGTAAAGAATCTCTAAATCCTTTATTCTGTTTAATGTTGTTAAAGAGTTTGTTGGTTCACCATTCACTAAGCTTTGAAAGTCATGGGTTTTATGAATTGTTTTGAATGCATGCCTACTTTAATGTGTTAATAGTTTGCATATGTATTCAAATATTCTCACATGTTCTTAGTTAGGACAAAATTTTCCTTCAAGTGGTATCAGAGCCTAGGTCTAGTTTATGGTGAATCCTTTTGGGTTTTGTGATTTTCATGATTTGTGATTTAAATGTTGTAATGTTACAAGTTTTGTTCTTGCTTTTGAATATATAAATTTTGCTTGAAAATTTAGCATCTCAAATGGTGTAGATGTAGTTCATTTAAGCATGAATATTGGAACTAAATTTGGTGCCATGAATGTTGGGAAATTCGTCCAAATCCAAAGGGTGGATTTTTGGGTTCTTGTTTGTCTTGTTAAAATGGTTCTAAAGTGACTTTTGGAACCCCTAAGTACCCTAGGATATTAACCCTCTTTTGTGTTGTGAAAATTTGAGTTTTATTGTGTGAAAACATCCATGGAACTCTTATGAGTTTTCATGTGTGTTCTTCAATGTTCTTGAGTTTCTTACCAAGAACAAAAAGGTTTGGAGTTTTGATTCAAAATGTTTGGTGGTTTTAATAAAGTTTTGGTTTATTTATGAAAGGTGATGGATGATTGGTGATGGGTGATTAAATGCCATTAATGTTTCACAAAACATTTTTCTTACACCCTTCACAAATCAACCTTTATCCTCACCACTTGCATAAACCACTTGCACTAGATTTTTTAAAAAATTTTGAGTTTTCACCAAAACCTTTTCACACCTCCTTTTCACACCTAAAACCGGCCACCCCCTAGTGGGGGTACTTTTGGGGCCTTTTATGCAATTACATAAAGTTTTTGATACTTTTGTGTATTTGCACTTTGACCTAAAAGTTTACGTTTTTACGTTAAGGCCCAAAAACTCTAAAGGACAAATTGTTTTGCTCCTTTAATGATGTTTTTACATTGTTAAAATTTTGGGTTTTAGTTGTAATTACATGAAGTTGTGGACTCTTGTGTTTTTACAAAGTGACCCCAAAAGTTTTTGTTTATTAAATAATGGTCCAATTGTTGAGGTCATTGTTTTTGGCCCAAATAAAATGAGAACAAAATGGTTTTGTCTCTTTAATGAGAATTGGATTTTCATTTCAATTAGTTCCATTTAAATAAATTCTATGAATCCGAAAACCAATTGTTTAAGTTGCTTTCTTAGTTAATATGATTGATTAAGAAAAGGGTGATTATGAACCAAAGGCCTCGATAATTGAGCTATGTGATTGGCCGCTTTACATTATGAATGTTTGGGTTAAGTAGTTTAGATTTGAATGTAATTTGATTAGTTCAATTTGTTGTAAATGGACATAAGTCCATCAAATGTGTTGTAAAAGGGCATAAGCCCTTCTCTTTATTTCAAGTATTCCTTTTTGTTTAAATGTATGCAAATTGGAATAGTTGGGTCCAACGTCCAATAGGAAATAACGGTTTAATTAGATTAAACGCGTAACTAAAATCACCAACTATCTACCTTAAACCCAAGGTCCAACACAAGGCTCGTGTTGGATCAAATCAAACGGTTCATAATCATCCTAAAACCTAATATGACTATATAGTCCATATGAGGATGCAATGCGTTCGTTAGTAGTTCCATATAGTCTCGCTTGTTTCAACGAAACAATGGGAGTATTATATGCTACTAATTCATATTAACTTGGACCAATAGTTGTGATAGGCCCAAGTTCTTTTAATAAGATTAAAATGATTTTGATGTAGCCCAACACTATTCCCTCAACAAAATGAATATTAAGTTGATAAGCGAGAGATGTTTTGAACATCTCTTCGTAGGCCTTCCACCGTGGTGGGCTCCAATCGTTTGTGACTCCTACACCGGCTTCACCCTATCATGGGGAAGTTCAAAGTATGTGCTTACATCCAGGAGGAGTCCATAAACATATGATGAAGTGAGTGTAGGCAACGAGGATGGCCGACATCGTATCATCGTAAGGCTATTCTTGAACCCCTACACGAACTAAGCATGGTGGGAATAACTTAACTAAGTGCAATGGTGCCGACATCGTATCATCGTGAGGCAAAATTCTCTAAAGGCCAAACTAGATGGGTAATTACAAAAGTTGTAAATGAATAAAGCGTTATTTTCTCATCATTATTTTTGCTAACCAACATTGTATCATCGTGAGGTGGGCTTGGTAATAGTGAGTCTCCCATACCCTGCTTAGAGTTCAAAATAACTCTCGAATTCCATTGAGGGATGTGGAATTTGCCAAAAATAGTAGGTGGTACTATTTGATTTAAGACCCAATCAAGTAGTTTTAAAACAAACAATCTAATACGATTTCTGTTATGTTATGTAGTTAACGACATGCCTAAAATTATACCCACCATTATACTTGACAAAAGGGGACTTAGAGGCTAACATTTCCTTGCTTGGTATCGCCACATTGAGAATGTCTCAAAGGTGAAAGACATATTGTATGTGCTTAAGCAATCCCCTCCTCATGTACCTCCTACGAAACTAGCTTCAAATGAGGAGTGTCAAGATTATGCTAGACATTATGAGGATGACTTACAAACCAAATGCTTAATCCTCACTTCACTTAGTGAGGAGCTTATGAAGCTACATAAGCACATGGACACTTCTTGTGCCATGGTTGAAAGTTTGCATAAGATGCATGACATTGAGACTAGTAATGTACGATTCTCAAAAGTTTGTAGTCTAATGAATGCCAAAATGGCAAAGGGGACATCGGTCCATAAACATGGACAAAAGATGGAAATGATCTTTCAAGATCTTAAAAGTTTAGGAACTTCCATCGATGGGAAAATGGCCCAAGACTTTTTTCTTACATCTCTCTCGGATGATTTCACTAAGTTTATTGTAAACTATAAAGTGAATAGATTCGATCATACTTTAACCGAGATGATTGACATGTGCTGTAAGTTTGAAAAAGGTTTCAAAAGGGACAGTGGGAGTGAGAACGCAATAACAAGGAAAAAGTTACATAAGAAGAAGGCAATAAAATCCAAAGGAACATGCTTTCATTGTGGAAAGGATGAACGTTGGAAGAAGAAATACAGGGTGCGCATTGAGAGCCTTATGACACGAACTTTTGAAGAGACTATTTCCGTCATAGAGAGTGCTTTTACAGTGAGATCCAATTCCTGGATATTTGATTCAGGCGCTAGTCAACATATTTGTAATACAATAGAGGGACTAGCAGGGAGCAGGTCACTGCGCAATGGGGAGATGGTTGTGCGAGTTGGGAACGGCACTAAAATCTCTGCAAAAGCAATAGGCACCTATATGCTTAAACTACCCTCTGGGGAAGTGCTGGAACTTAAAATTGTTTATATTTTCCTTCATGTATAAAGAATTTGATTTCTATCTCTAAGCTTTTACGAGATGGGCACTCAGTATTGTTTGACAAAATGAGTTGCACTTTATACTTGAACGGTCGTATTATCTCTCATGGTAATATGATAGAGGGACTTTTTCACCTAGAGACGAATAGTGGGATGCACTGTATTGAAAGCGGGAATACCTCAAAACCCAAAAGGGCTAGAGAAGAAGTTAACCAAGAAAGGATGTGGCATCTTAAACTTGGACATGTCAACCTTGATAAGATTCGCAAGATGTCGAAAGACGGATATTTCCGCCCATTAGGTAATGACCAGATGGGTACTTGTGAATGTTGCTTGAAAGGGAAGATGACCAAATCTCCATTTACTGGAAAAAGAGAGCGTGCCACTGAAATTCTAGGGTTAATCCACACTGACGTATGTGGACCTATGTCTATTACGTCGAGAGGAGGTTTCTCCTACTATATCACATTCACCGACGATCACTCTCGGTTTGGCTATGTGTATCTTATGAAGTACAAGTCAGAATCCTTTGAAAAGTTCAAAGAATTCAAGAATGAAGTTGAGAAGCAAACTGGGAAACAGATAAAGACCCTAAGATCGGATCGAGGGGGTGAATATCTGAGTAATGAGTTCTTAGATTATCTCAAACAGTGTGGAATAGTATCACAGTGGACTCCACCGGGAACTCCACAACTTAATGGAGTTTCTGAAAGGAGAAATCGAACCTTGATGAACATGGTTCGTTCTATCATGAGTTCCGCCAATCTACCAGTAACATTCTAGGGATACGCTCTATATACAGCAGCTTACTTGCTTAATAGAGTACCTTCCAAGTCAGTTTCACA